ATCTCTAGAATTCGGTATTAAAATTGAAATATTGCTTGAAAATTGATATTACTTGAAATTTTTGCACCAAATTTTTGACTCCAAAAGTCAAAGGTTGTAATTCTTTGCTATTTTTTCATTATTATTTCCTCTTGCTGATTCCAAGCAATGGGTGGTTCATTAAAACAATAGAAATCTACTACAAATAGCAGGAAGCATTCCGTGTACTTTCCTGAAGTTAATGAACTCCACAGTCACATGGTATCAATTATTACTGGTTGCTTAACATATGTCTGGTGGCCACATGTCTTACACTGGAAGGGCATGAGGCAGTAGAGTATACGTGTTACATGTATATTCAGCCATTCACAGTTCACACACAGAGCAAAAGTGCATTTAAAGGTGTTGCCGATGTAGTGCTACATGTACTTCTTGAACTGTAAGGTTTAGAGGTATTCTTTCCTTACAATTCAACCAATAAATAAATCAATAGCAAAATATACTGGTCTTGTCGACCGAAAATTCAGAGACACAGAGGGAAAATTTGAAGAAAATTTGTTCAAGAGTCAAAGTGAAAGAGACACTTATAGCAACATTGTTTCAATAATGTTTTGGATTTGGAGAGAGCTTCAAATAAAATGTTGCATTAATCTAGTTTCCCCCATGAAGGGTGTTTGTTATTCTTACTGAATAGTCAACTATCCCTACCCACCAAGAGGCATCTCCACACGACAATGGATACATAGTATTTTAGAACAGCACCTTCACAGCAACCTGGCTGTGGGGAGAGTGACTGGATAGCTTGAAGGAAGTGCCTGACAGAAGGGCCCCATTGTAGGAAGCAACAAGGGAAGTTGTTGATAACTGAAAAGTGCCAAGTACACCTTGTGATCATCTGGGATTTCCAACTGAGCAGACTGGGGGGTTCCATTATGGTGTACTTCCCAATGCCCACGGTCACAACAGGACGAAGGAGTGTGGAGGGAGTCCTATTGCTGACACCCTGCTATCTGCATGCCAGGGTGATCTATGTGCAGTGTGTAAAAGAATTTAAATTTGTTTAATTAATCTCCAAGAGGGAACAAATTACTTTCCAAGATGTAGCAATGCTACACCCCTTCAGCAGTTCTGCCCTCAAATTAAAATGCATGGTTATTCCTTCCTCCATGCATGGAATTCTCATCATGATAAAACTGCAGTTGGCGAAGTAACATCCTTGAAATAAATTTTAACCAAAAGATGTTGTATTTTTACCTGGAAACAACATCCATCATCCAGTATTCTAAGCTCAATCAGAATGTATGTACATGTATGAAGGGTCTGCATGTCAACGCCAGGCATCCGCTGAAAGCTGAATAAGTCCGCTGAATAAGTCCACTGAATAAGTCCACTGAATAAGTCCGCTGAATAAGTCCGCTGAATAAGTCCACTGAATAAGTCCACTGAATAAGTCCACTGAATAAGTCTACTGTCCAGTGTCCACCACCATTTTTTAAACTGCAGAACTTTAGGTGTGCAATTTACAGCGCACATTGCATGTACATGTAGTTGACAGTTTTAAGCAAAGTTTACTTTTTACACAGCTTTTTAAAAGACAGACTGTTTTTTTGCCAAGTATGTACAGTGGAAACTTGTAGCTCACATTCAAATATCCTTCAAATTATCCGCTCAATTATCCAACCTCAAGAGTGAAATAATACATGCAAGCCTTCTTTAAGGAAACTACAATGTGGACCCAACATATTCATAAGTCAACATATAAAAAAAACAGCTGACATCAGATGTGACACGCACTGCCCCAGTGAGGTGTCGCCAGACTGGCCAGAAAAGAAAAGGTTCTGAATTCCAAGATCACATTCAACCACAACATGACGCCCTGTGGGGACCAGTGGTTGAGTTACGAGGGGCGACGTCCCCAGAGACAGCAAACCTAAATAATGCCACACTAGGAGGACAGTTTATCTACCCAGAATACCAGGAAACAAAATCTTTCGATGCAGCTCAACAGTTGGCAGACAAAAGCATTAAAGCCAGTTTCCAATGATCAAAAAAAGGAAAGTGAAAAAAAAACTTACAATTACTGTGAGTTTCTTTCACAATACAGTGTATAACATGTGCCATAAATATAAGCTGGGAGTAAAATATTTGAACTGACAAACAGCTTGCAACATTCAATTCAATTCCTCAATGAACTGTCAGTGTGTTCATGACAACAGATCTATGTATGTTCTGAGTTTCTATATCTTCAATTTTTCTTCAATTCTGCTCTCGTGTGAACATACTGAGTACAGTCTAGTTAAACTGACAGATGTATTCCATAAATCATGTGAAAATTTACGGTTCCCTTCATTTAGTGGACAAAGATTTAACAGCCCTCCCAATTCAGACTGGCAGTGTTCCCCCCCAATGCATGATATGATCTGAATACCAGATGGGAAAACACTTTTCAATGACAGTTCCAACTGTGAAATTCACAGGAATATTTGACTGAATTCCTGCAGAGGTTGGATTAGCACTGACTTCATTCCAATACTGTATTACAAAAAGACATGAAGTGTGTAACATAGGCCTACATGCTGTGTATTTTGAAACATTCTGAGATTTTGTTTAAAACCTCACAGTACCCCTTCAGACAATACAAGACTGTTTCAACATGTTGTCTAAAAACATAGTCTGGTGTCACAGAAATTTTTGTCTGAAGCAAGATTCTCTGTTAACAAAATTTATCACTTCTCATAAATATTTAACAACAAATTTAAGTTCACAGTTTGCAAAATATACCAATATTCAATCAATGAATTTTCAAATGTTTGCCTTCTCCTCTTTAGGGGTAATGGACAGGAAACCACAGTATCACTGGTTTCCCAGAGGGGTCATAACTACTTTATGTGGCAAGTGTACTTGTAAGCTTTAGCATCTACTGTTTGAGTGGAGGGCTTTAGCAATGGATGAATCCCATCAGCACTGACTTTCAAGGTTGCCCATTTTTACTCTGGAAGGGCTATCTCGGGCAGACTAAACCGACCAGCATTATCTCTGTATTGACTAGGCCCTATGGTTGTATTGTGTTGTCAAAATGTTAGGCAAAGACCTCTTTTTGATAAGATGACAATGACTGGGAATAGGTCATTTCCTATGAGAGACTTCTATTCAATCCTGATTGGGCCCAACAGCCAATGGCCTGGTCCCACTGACAATATGCACCCTGAGTTACTTGTTAGGCCTCAAAGTCCATGTAAATGACTGTGCTAAGAGATGCCGGGTAGGTGTTTGTTAATTCCTAGAGATCTTGAAATTCAATGTGATCCTGCTGTGTAGTTTAAACAACAATTTCAACACTGATATTTGCCTTCTCCATGTACTTACATACATACAATGATATAACTACAGGCCTATACATGCAACCATAAATCAGTGATGATCACAAACTGGTGAATATCCCCAATAAAGTAGATAACTTAATCATAAAGGTAAAGTCGTAAAAATATTAATATTCAGCAGGGTAACTCAGGAAATCGACTGCAGTATTTCTTTTCTAAATTCAGTAAAGGAGAAAATTACATGTATTTTGTCTGACAGAATTTTGAGCAGAAAATGCAATTTTTCCATAAATGCATTTGTTAACTGGTCAAACAACTAAATAATAGTTCATACATAATACAGCAGAACCTCGTTAATAAGAGCACTGTTAATACAAGGACATTTTTCGGTCCCTGTCCTTTGTTTTCCATTTTTGTCATTCCTGACAAAACAAGGTTCCTGTTATATTTCATAACAAGGTAATCTGCCAAATCCGAAGGACCTCTTATTAATGAGGTTCAACTGTACATATGTAAAATTATTATTCATATTATTAATGCAACAGTACAGAAATTATTGGAACAAGTTTTGATTGATTGATTGAATATCGTTTTCATGTGTTTCTAATTTAGCAACTCTCCTGGCTAACGTACACTGCATGGATACATCCACACTGGACCTGCAACTGTAAGTACCACCATATCCTTTCTTAGAAAAAAAATTATCAAGGAGGTGGGGCTGTCACCATGCCATCACCACTAGTACCCTTAGGCACTTGAAAAGTCAAGTGCGGGCGTGACACTGTGACTGGTTTAAAATACAGACAGGTTTGTCTCTGTGAAGTCAATTGATTTATGTTCAGAAAGCACAAGTCATGTAAAGATCATGCTTTCTGCTTGACCCCAACATCTCCAGGTAGTATTCCCACTGACAAATAAAATGGATAAAACTAAACAAAACTACGGTACCAGCCTGCAACTTGAACATTTTGGAAATTCGCACAGTACCAGACAGATTACACAGTACGCATTGAGAATGGTTACAATATCATGTGTCAAAAAAATCAGTGCATCACTTTTTCACAAAGGAAAAATCTTCCATTCAACTGATTATAAGAATGTGGGAGCACTTTGACTCTTTTTCTGGGAATTCCATGCAGATGTACAAGTATGTCAAACATTTTTCTTCTTTGAATATTTTTTATTTCATTCAGAGAATCATGTTTGGAACTACTGTACCAAAGTGAGCCTGGCCTCTTTGTGCTATAGACGGAATAGGCATAAGCTTTATATCATTAAAATAATGTTAAAAATGTAAAAAAAATCAAAGCAGATATATAAAATGCAGGAAAAGTTCCATATACGGATGCCAGTAATTATTCCCTACAGTGACATACAAATATTAGCCATCAGAAAGCAAAAAAGTGTCCAGAAAAGTTAAATTTTGGAGGGAAAGTACAAAGTCGTTTACTTCAAAACACAATTTTTCAGACCAGTCTCATTTCAGAGGGTTTGTGCTCTGGGTGTCAAGTGGCCTTTGTATATGGAACTCTTTCCTAAAATACTAGACGTAATGCAGACCAAGGTCAAAACGACAACTTGCTTTTCAATTTGGGCAATCTTTTCCTTCTTGACTAAGATTAAGGATAATATTATTTTAAGATGTAAAGTGAAATTTTTTTCTTTTTTATGAAAAGCTAGAATGCTGAAGATAGGACTTACTCATGACAACTGCATTGGTCCTGTCCAAGTTTCCTAAGGTAATTCGAACAAGGCTGGAGTTAAGTCTGAGATGTCCATCATGATCTTTCTTGAGAAGTAGTAGTTTGACATCCCCGACGTGCGCGGCATTATCACAGATTGACGGATCTCCAAACCCAGTCACCATGACCTGGTTGGATTCGGGGTCCATCGGTGGAGAGATTCCGTTATGTACAGTCTCCTCTCCCTTGAAAATCCGCACGATCTGGACCTCACATTCATATTGAAGAGTCCGGGGTTTCCGCATCACTTTGTCCACGAAACCAGTCAGGATGACATTGGCGATTTCTGCTCGCTGCTCCAGAGGTAGCGGCTCGCTACATTTTGGAGGTGCTCTGAGCCGACCGTACAGTGGCTGCGAGGCCGCGGGTAGAACGGCAGCAATCACGGCCAGCAACACGCTCATGGTAACGCCGCGGTGATCCATTATCGGCACCGAGATCAAATTTGATAGGAGAGAATGAAGTGCCTAATGCGACTGCACTTCAGTAATCCACCAAGAAATCGTAGGCTACTTGTACAAGATGCCAACAGACTGCCTGTGCGATCCAATCGACGTGTTGGTGAAGTTTTAAAGGCAGAAATAGAACAGAAGAACGCCGACTGACGACCGACGAGAATGCCGCATGGTCGCCTTTCCAAACTTTGCGGTTTTAATTGGGCACCCGTACATTACCTGCGCGCCGTAATATTGATCATGCACAGGTGCATATTAACTGGTGCCCAGCTTGTTGCACGTACTGATGACAGATGCGATAGGGACCACCCACAAGCGTCCCTGAAGAAAAAACTTTACTCGTAGCAGCAATGGAACGCCCTCTTCGGTGCATTATTATGCAATCACGTCTCATTTTGAGCGTGCGCTTCGCGCGCTCGAGTTCTTTTGAAATACTTTGTTCGGGGCACTAGTTAATTCATTTCGCCTATAAGGAAAAATCTGCTTGGATTAAAACATTAGTCTTTGTAAATTTTAAATCTTTCTTCACGAGACGTCAAATAGACCAAAAAAGGATATTTATTATTTTTCAGAAAATAAACTGTTTTTCCACTGCCAAAGTTCCGTCTCCAACTTTGTTGCTGTGGTGATAGAAGAAACAGATATTCTTTTTAACTTATAAATATTTCTGAGCCTGAGGACCTTTTAAAATCTTTTTGCAACTCCTCCGAAGCCATAAAAATGCCTACATCAGTAAGCATTAGTTTAATTAGACTCACCAATGAATGACAGAACTCCAGGATTTCACTTTGTTTACTGATAAAGTAAAACAAATACTTTCATTCCACTTTATGTAATACTGCGGTAAACAACGACAAAGGGTACAGGAAGCTGATACCTTACAGGCAATTAAACTAAGATGTTTACTTTAAAATAATCATTTAAAAATAAAAATTGTCTGGTCCTATTTCAACCACAACGCATCTTCATGAGCCCTTTATAACAGTGATCATATCACAAGTACATGGACATTCAATAAAATACTTAACTAAATGCACACTACATATCATAACTTCACCTATGATACACATAACAAGGATGACTTTTCCCCATTCAAGATGGATAACATCTATGATCGAACACCCAGGATTGGGTTTCCTGAAAACTGACAAAACTGGTGTGAATAGATGTACAAAAGTCACTCTGGGATGACCGGAAGTCTTGCTTTAAACGGATTATATGCATTGTTTCCTAAGTAACATAATAACGTGCAGTAAACACAGCAGAATTCTTACTTTCCAATTATGATTTATATTTTAAGGGCTAAACACAAATGCAGCCATTACAACAATACTGGGTCACTTATCAACCCCATTCGTTATTTAATACACATGCACTCCAACTTTTACAAAGTAACACATTTTCTGAATGGCATCTATGCACAGTGTTACAACTTGACAGAACTTGCAAAGACTGTGAGAGCACATTAAAAGCAATCACTCTGTCAAAGAGGTTTTGACAAATTAACAAAACACAGATGAGAAATGTGCGTAAATGGTATGAAATGTGATAAAATGGATTTATAAGCAAATTGTGTTGGTTCATTTTGGGAGCTTTTAAGCTGCTGATATTCTGTAACAGCAGTTGATTTTGCCAACACTGGATGTGTAAAGACTGTTGCCAGGTACAAAGCAAATAACTACTGGCTAGGTTCACATCTGCGGAACAATAAAAAGCTTATCTGGAAGTTAACAAGTAATTCTTGTGACATTTTGAAGCAGCATTCCCAATCCAGTGCACTCTTGATTGGCCTAATTTAACACAGAGGCTCCTCTCCTGGTGGTAGATATCTAGTTTAGTTACTTAGTAGTATCTACTGCTTCCTTGTTGATGTTGACTCTGCGATGTGGGGTAGCTGCCGTGACGCTGAGCTTGCTGGGAGGACTGGTAGCTTGTCTAACATGGGTAGAGAAAAAAAAAGTTGACTGAAGCTAGTCTATGAATATTGAGGGACTTGTTGGCAATGGAGTGAGGTTTGTTGCTTACTGTTAGACTAATAAATTTTTAGATATCAGTTATGTAGTCTGTATCCGCCCTGAGCAGAAGCCCTCCCTCGTTGGTTGAAAAGAGCCATGTTGGTCAGGAGTGTTCATTTTGCTGGTAACGATGAGACTGCAATGCTTGTGTTTCATAGATGTTCATGAACCAGCAATGCCTGGTTACTACCAAAGGAGCCTCTGTTGCAAGGAAAAATAGCGCCCTCTCTTGGTCCAGCTCCATGCTCACTGAAGGAAACACAAATAAATTAACAAGTGGAACATAGAAACCAGGAGTGTTTTTTGTGAGATACGGCTAAACTCACCCCGTGTGGCTGAGGTTGTGTCTGTTGATGTTGTTGGCTAGGTTTCTTGTGTTGATATATTGGCGATTCAGGCTTCCTACGAGGAGTATAGGATGATGGCATACTCGGCTGCAAGCAAGAAGCAACATAAACATCAGAACAAAACTGCACAGCATCAGACACTTATAACTCTAGCACCAATGACTTAGTGTTCTGCTTCTGATGAAAATACAAGCAAAAAGATGATACAAACTAAAAGGTAAGATGTGTTGGGAAGATCAATTTTCCTATTTGGAAAAACAAAACTAATTTTTTTCAAAACAAAAATCTTAGTCCATCAATTTCCATTTACCATTTGCACTTGACTGAGAATGACAGTAGCAATTCTACAGAGTCTTAGCCTGAATGTACTTAGGCATCAAATCTGATTCTGGGGGCTATACAAAGGAATGTTCAATGCACCTTTCCCATGAATATGTAAACTGGACAGGCTCATACGAACTACTGCCACTGGTTGGCAAGTGTGGCCGTCATCACAGTCGGAGAGCCTTACTCTATGCTCTAACAATAACTTGGCGCGTTGAAGGTCAATAAAAACCATATTACAGCCTTTGTCCACATGGTTTTCTCAAAACTAAGTGAAGTTTTTCGACGACCCAAGATTGGAAAGTAACAATTCCTTGCCTTTAAGTTTGGCACTCATGTCAAACTATACCGGAGCAGAAACAATGTGTATGTGGTCATGATTGAGCGTACACCGAGATTTGTATTGTTATGTCATAGATTTAAGCAACTTTGCCAACCAGTGGTAGCAATGCACCTGCCTTATTTACATATTTCATGGGAAAAGTCCATTATCTAACCAAATGGACATCTGAATATAAAAGTTTGGAATTGTCCAGTAGGGCTGAATCCAACTCCATGGCAATTTTTCTCATCCTTGATTGTCAAGGTTCCAGCTCACCTTTCCCTGTTGTGCCTGCAGGTGTACCTGAGATTGTGAGAGTAAGGTCTGCTGAGGGTGAAGAGCCTGTGGATGGGCACTAGCCATCTGCCTAGGATGCTGGAAGAGAAACAAAACAAAGCAATGAGACATGAAACAGCAGTATACTGTGGGAGTAAATGAAAAGGAAAGACACCTAAAACAGTGATAAGTTGCAAGACGAAAGCAGGACAAATATGTGTGATGCAGAAAAATACTGGAGGACATAAAAAAGGAGGTGATACATGAAACAGTAGTGTGCTGCTGGAAAAATGAGAATGACACATGAAACAGCCACATACTGCTGGCAGCTCCAGGAAAGCAAGAAAACTATACATAAACAGCAAATACTACAATGCGCTATTAAACAGAAAACTTGTGTAATACAAAAAGCAATGATTATTTTGTCTACTTTGTACAGTGCCTATTCATATTGCCAAATACTGTCACATGTCTGTATAAAAGGATGTGTTCACACTGCATTTCAGTTTGAAGATGTTTTCCCCAGAAATTCATCCCAGAATCAAGAACCGTCTTACAGTCAACTCACCTGGCCTTGTAGTTTGTGTTGGTAGTGGCCTTGGTCATCAGGGTACGGACCTTGTTTAACAGACTGGTCCACTGTCTGTCCCTGGTGTACAGCTATGCTAGCTGCGGAGGCTGACTGACCACCGTGGATGTAACCTGGGCACACAAACAACATTTATGTAAGACTCTTTCTTCTGTAACAAAAAGCCTTAGAAGAAATACCTATTCAATTGGCAAGCTATATGCATAAACACAGCTGGGAAAAAACTGCACAAAGACGATATAGGGTTGTGTTCATTCAGCTGAAAATTGATCAAACCTCTGCACCATTCATTTTTCCGCACACAGACAACTAAAACTGTACACAAATGATTCGCTTTGGCTTACAATAACATGTGCATCTATGGAACCACTAGCTGCTAGTAATATCTTCTCTGCACAGATGTGTGCGGTACGCAACCAAAATTCTTTGGTACAAAATGTTAGTTTGTAGAGCCCAACGGGACAAAATGTAACAGCCAACTTACGATGAGGCTGAGCCTGGTAGGCTTGTGGAGTTTGCTGGGGCACAAAATGATTTGGGTAGGAGCTGAACGCTGACTCCCTAGATTGATACTTGCTGGCAGTGGATTGGCTGCTGGCTCCATACCCAGCATGCACTGCCTGTTGACCAGGTGGGTAACCGGTCGCTGATTGGCTGACGTAGCTGGAGTTGGCCTGTGATGTGGTGTATGGTTGATGACCTGGAAATCACAGAAATTCTCATTACATGTCGCATTCAATAGAAAGACTGCATTTCACAATACAGGGTTTGCATGGCTGCCATTTTGCAGGCCAGTGCTTTTATTCCACAGGATATGCACAAAGGAGGTTTCCCCCTGGAATAAAAGAACTGCCCTGAAAGATGGCTACCATGCAAAGCCTGTATTTTCCTGAGTTCTTTAGCATACACTGATCCATGACGTGAAATAAAAGCATTTACTCAGCAGGCAATACGTTGTACTGTTTCACGTTAATCGCTCTTCCATATCTGAAAAAGCTAGCTGATCTTTCTTTGCCACAATAAAAGATCCTGAGATCCCGATAAATGGCCACACCCTTACAGATGTCACTATTAGGGGTCATCCAACTAGATGACACTTAACATGTTGAGCAACATAACTGCACAGAGTTACATAGATGAGGCAATGATTGTGTCTCACCTTGTCTGTAGGAACCATGAGAAGCTTGGCTCTGTCCATAACCTGGGCCCTGGCCGTACGGGCCTTGCTGTACAGGGTGCTGAGGGTATAACTCAACCACTGGTGGAGATGGGCTACGAGTCCGCTTCACTCCCTGATCAATCAACAAGATGCAGCAAGTCAGATTTTACAAAGAAAGAGTTGTTGAATTCTTCTCTACTGACATAACTGATACAGCTGTTACCATAACACTGTAAAAGAAATGTTCTGCACTTAGAACTGGGATGAAAATCAGCATTAGAAGGGGTGCTTCCTAAACTGTTCGAGGTCAACAAGTAAATTGGATCTTTTATTCTTGCCAGTGGGTTTTCTTAATTTTGTTCTTGCACTTTGCTTGCACGTCTACAATTTTAAAAAATTGTTGAGACTGGTGTTTGTACAGGTTTCTTCAAGCTGTTCAGCTAGATTGTTGAGCACTTTTGAGGAATTCTTGGTTTCCTTAGCAACAAGAGCAGAATTTGTGTAAATACAGTCAATCAACAAAATGCCACTAAGGACAGCTCAAAATGTGATATAAAAACTAACACCCATGACGCAAAGCCACAATAATATCACTAACTGCAGTACACACTGCTTCATTGGATTTGAGCAAACCACCCAATGCAAGCAAACTCAGTGGTCGAGTGGTTAAACATTTACACTTGTAAGCAGAAAGTTGTCAGATTGAATCCCCCTTGAGCAAGCCAGTGATTTTTATTTTGCATCTGTTGGGCCAACTGAGAATACAGTGTGAATACAAATAGCGTTTTTTCACAAAATCCTAGCATAAAATTAAGATCCTTAATACAAAGCCAAGTTAATATCATTAAACCGGCATTTGGCAATGGTATTGGCATTTTCAACCCAAGCAGAAGTCAAGCGCTGAGTTCAGAAGAGTTGTACCCAGACGAGCAAACACAGATAAAGAACTCTATTCATTCTCTTCTACTGAGTACTTACATGGACTCCCTGTGCAGGTTGCTGTGCTGGTGTGCGGTACATGGGCCCCTTATCCAACATGGCTGGCCTCCCCTGCATATGGGCACCTAAATGTATGGTCAAAATTGACTTCATCAAACTGACTAAACTTCATTCACTTACACTTGAGGTATGTCAAGAGTCCTCAATATCGTTACTCATAGTTGGGTAAAGTATTTCGGAAAGTTGAACTGATGTTAGCTCAGGAAGCTGAACAAACTGTCGAAGACTATTTCAATTAAGACTAATAATTAACTTTTAAATGCTGGGACAAGGTATTTATATGTTTGTTGGGGACGGTGTTGTATTCTGTTTATTTGCAGATGAAGAAAAAGGAAAACTGGTGTCAAGAAACGACAGGGAGTTCAGCTGATAACAAGTTTACCTTGCACAATCATGTGAGGTCCAGGCATGTGCAATGTAGGATGATACTGGTGATGGTGGCTCATGGCAACCATTAATTCACTGCAAGGTCAAAGGTTAAAATTAGCATCAGGAAACCACTTTAACTCAGCTACTAACACAGATCATTGCTTAGACATTCAACGAAGGGCTTTACAATTTGTGAAAATCGCTGTGCGCCCCATATAAAAAAAAAACAGCTGAAGCACATGCGTACAATGGTATGCATTGCTCAAACCCAAGATTGCCACTTAGAAGAATGGTACTTTTCTTCCTCAGGTATGAAAATCATGACATGCATATTAAATGACAAGAAAAAATAGTTCAATGTAGTGCCTGAATTAGGAAAGGCTCCACTAGAATTTCTGTAGTTGACAATAAGAGCTACAATAAATGAGTAGCAATTACAGAAAAGACGGTGTTTTCTTTGAATCTCGGTGAGAGATGAGAAATGCTGACCTTTTTTCCTTCATCTGTTGCCTTCTGCGGTTTTCATCCTCATTGAGAACCTTCTTGAGTTGTGAGAACAACTCGTGCTTGTCAGCTTTGAGAGACTTGAGTTTATCCTCTAGTGACTTGATCTGAAAGACAACAGAAATTCAATACTAAAAACAGGTTGGTGAAATTTTGTAAAAACCTGTTTAATTCATAGAATTGGTCAATAAAACAATGTCTTTTTTACAAAATCAGTGCTGGATACCACATTTACTAGTTTTACCAGGAAGTTTCTTGTTTGTAACAAAATTAGGGAAAAGTTGGATTCACTCTTTTCTATTTCAATGCAAAAGGTGGAATTCCTCTTTTACCAAATGCCTAGAAGTATTTTCAAACGAGTTAAGTTTTTAGACATCAGTAAAAAAAAGAAAATACGCATGAAATTACATGTCCGACAGACTGAGTAAATTGTTATCAAATCATCTGGCAGCATTTCTGATAATTCATGAGGGGTGTGTATGGGAATGTGGAGTTGTACATGCAGGTTGCTTTACTTCCTATGGTAATACACCTGTTATCAATTAATTATCATCCTACCTGTTCCTTAGTCTCCTCCAGAGACAAGGATTCCGCCTCTGCCTTCTTTCTCAAACGTTCTGCTTCTTCCATCTTCCTTTCAATGGCTTTATCTGCTTCCTCCTCTTCTGCAAAGTAAAACAAATCAGGACAGAAATGTGACTCAAACAAATGAGCAAGTCTTTATTATCATTAACAATCCCTGTGCACATGTTAGAATTCTTCGAAATGCATCAATACCTTTTAATGCACTCTTTTTTTGAATCTAGAATTACTTTCAACAAAAGCTCCAATTAAATATAAGCTTTCATCTGGCTGTCATACATGAGAAGTAAACACTGGTTAGATGGACCTGGAATAGGCAATGTACATGTACAGGTGTTCTGGAAAAAAGAAAGATTCTACAATGCACCTGTAAATATCACAATACTTACTAATGAGGTAAAGAAAACCAGTCAGAACCCACAGTTTGGACATTGAAAGTCTATGGCTCTTGCATTTCTGTGGGTATTAGATGTGGATTACCTTGACGCTTTCGTTCTCGCTCCTTGAGAATATGGTGTTTGAGAGCGGCAGCCATAGCCTGTGTTAGTTTGGGTCGATCTAGAAGGCCTGGCATGATGCTCAGTTCATAAAGATGGGCAAACGGTCTTCTAATCAACTGTACAGTATGAAAAAGGTCAGATAACTTAAAATAAATGTGCCTAATACCACCATGATATGAGAAACCTGTGCAATACGACTAACAACACCCACTTAATGCACACAGTCATGACAATAGCTGGAAATATTCAGCACCAAAGGCTCATGGCATGGGGATGCATAATAATTAATACAAAGAATCTCTCCAACTGCCCATATTTTACACAGTCAGTCATCTTTGATAAGTTTGAAAGGCAATCATTGACAATGAAAATCTGAAAAGGTAAACAAGGCGAAGCGTGTGCCATTTAAACTTTTGAAATAATTTTCACCTAACATTCATTGACAGTATGTTAGTCCTAAAAAGGTTAATCCAAATTTAATACATGCCGTTCGTATTTTTCACCAAATACGTGCAAAGTTAGAAAGGTATGGGCCAAAAGCAAAAAATAAATACCACGATTAATCAAACACTCAGCATGCTCAGTACAGTCATGTCAATTTTGTCACTGTCACTCATACTCCTACTACCTCGCCTACAACTTACAATTTATAAGACAAAACATTTTTGAGCTTCATTGGCTCACACGAAATAATTCTTATTAAGGGGGTAGGGTGAAGAAAATAAAGTAAATGATACCTTTATAGCAATTTGCAAGAGAGGGTTGCGTGAATTGTAATTTTTTGTTAATATTTACGGCACGACGAAATGAACAAGACTACAGTCGCCAAATGGTCGCCATCTTTGACGGAAACTATTCGGTGAAGCTCGGACATTTCCGTAAATGAAACAAAATACAAAAAAATTAATTGCCTAAATTATGTGTTTATCTTTTATCTCAAAAATGTATTTCAAAAACCTGTCTGAAAAATAAACTGTTAAATCTAATATGTAAAACGTTCATTTTTGTTTAAAATACTTCACACCGACCATGTTCGGCTTTCTTCCGATTGACTCGGAACAATGTCGGTCTCTTTTATCCTGCGAAGTGAGCAAGATGCCCATGGTATGTTAAACTGTGATCAGGAATCCCGAATTTATCGCACAATTTGGGGGTAATTTTCATGAAAACATTATTTCACGACTTCGAATAATAACGCTGCCTACTGTAGATGTAGTTGTTTGATGGAATAACTGTTCGTTTCGTCAAAATATAACCATAAAAATTGTAAAAATGGGAAAGTTCGAAGGCGGGTCACCTATGAAGTGCGCCCTCATTGCTGTGGTTGAATTGCCGCACGTGGCGTGAGGGTACCGGGTGCATCCATTAAATCGTTGTATTTGTGCGCGCGAGCTCATTAATATGTTGTGATCCCATGGGATTTTTACAAGAAGACATGGATCATAGAAATATTTCTATAAATCCCGAATTTGGGACTGACAGTTTCCAGTTTGGGGTGTTTCTTTCACAAAAAGCCCTAAATTGTGGGCCCATTTTGGATAGAGGCGGGCAGCTAGCTACATTCAGAGCTGGGCGCATAGTTTTACTACTATTTAGGGGTTTCTTCGGGGAAAGGCGAATAGAAACATTTTTGTGGCTAACGTTCATAAAATTGAAATGAAATCTTGTGATCTTCTGGCCATACTCTTGAGTTTCCAGTGAAAAACGAGAGGCTAACCTCTTCCCAAGAGTCACTAGGCAGTGCTATTTTGGTCTGATATGGCACTGTTTTCTATGGATGCATACTTGTGTAGTGCAACCTCGGGCAGGTCATGCTATTTAGTGTCAACAAAGCGTCAACAAAATATTCAACCATTTTTATGCAAATATTTTATATTTACAACATAAGTAAGACTCCTACATATCATATTCAATGTATCACACTATCGAAAATGATATTTGTGGAAATTTGAGCAACAAATTTTGGGCTTGTCATGCAGCCCAACTGGCCAGTATCTTGTTTTTGAGTGGACATTAAAGTAAAGATGGCTGCCTCCATTGCAAAAAAGTTTCATTTTTTGCGTAAATCTGGAAGCACATTCAATGTTTCTCGTACACAGTGGCCATGGTGGCAAGTCTTATAATATGATAAAACCACTTTTAATCTTTAGAGGGCATTTTCAAGTTGTTGACACTTTGTTGACACTAGTTGTATGTGTTGACGCTTGTTGACGCTAAATAGCATAGCCGCGTGAGGCTAGGCGGCTAGTTATTTACACTGTAGCATACAGTAATTTACTGAACTTGACCACTTGACTCAACCAGGTATACTTGTCTCAATGTCTCAAATTTCATTCTTATCTGTATCACAGAGTTCAGGTCATGCTAAGTTGATGGAATGATGCTTAATTTGAAAGTAAATGACTGAAATGATAAAAATAAATGGATGTGTCATTGTTTAACAAATCTGTAAAGTTTGTTTAATTTAAAGAAATGGGAATAGTTTGAAAATGTTTGCTTGTGATAATTTGAAAAAGGAAGGAACACTGAGCTGTCGTTTAAATTTGTAGTGTTATTTTGTTTTCTTATTGAAATTCAGAAAAAAGTGGTCAAGAAGGGCTCCAAGCCTGTTGTGAAGGGGAAGAAAAAGAAGCAAACGCTTCATTTTACCATCGACTGTACTCTACCAGTCGAAGATGGCATCATGGATGCAGCTAATTTTGTGAGTTATCCTTTAATCTACAGTGGTGTAGCCTTGCTCTATTCAGAGGGGGGTAAGATATCTCCATTTGCCACCCCCCCATCCCCCAGCTGTGTTTCCAAATTCTTCTCGGAGGGGATAAGAGTTTGCCGGGGAACCCCTCCCTTTGCTCCCTTCCCCCACCCCACATACACACACCCAGCTATGTTGGCAGACTCTACTTAGAGAGAAGCAAGAGTTCCTGAGATGGGCAGTTTACTGCTCCCGTTGGCTACACCACTGTCAATCTGTACAATCAGGCAAGGTTTACAAATCTGCTGGATCTAACTCCACTGAGCATTCAACAGAAACAACATCAGTTGTCAACTATGAGACAATGGGAGTTAGCCTCATGTAACATTGCCACTGTTGGGTCCTGTGTTGGCTTGCTTGTTGGAACTCGTAGGCTGTTTGGCTTTGAAGGATAGTTGACCTGTTGGATACTGAGCTGGCGTCTCACTGGTTTATTGTTGTGGGTTGAATAGCTTTGCTTGCTCAAATGATGTCCAGGTAGGGTTTAGAGTTTGGTGATCAAAAGCCTGTGAATTAAAGTGTAAATTATTCAGAAAGTGTAGTTAACACATACAGCTATTTGGGAGTGGGTTTTTGTTCATTAGATCATGAGAGTAGAGAAAAACTCTACTCAGGAACGTCAAGTGAAACAGAGAAATGATTTCAGTTCTTAAAACGGAATCTCCCTGAAAGATTTTCTTTTTTCTTTGGTATTGAAAACTATTAATGTTATGTCTCTCTGGTCTAGGGTTAACCATCCCTAGTCCAACTTAGGGACCTCTTCCCTAAACAACACACCCCATTGTGGGTGTACTGTGTCCCTCTGAGGGCACAGTGGTTAGGGCCACCTTCCCTAACCTCCCTTCTTGTTTGTTCACTCCGCCCACCCAATCACAGGAGGCATTCTTGCAGGACCGCATCAAAGTGGACGGGAAGACCAAGAACTTTGGCAACAATGTCAGCATCGAGCGCAAGAAGAGCAAGGTGACCATCACATCCCACATTGACTTCTCTAAGAGGTGGGTTCAAGGATATCAGCTCAGACGGTGACTTTCTTAAAGACAAAGTGTGAAAGTGTAATGGGAACTCTGACATGTTGAAAGTAAATTCCTTTCAATTTTTTTTTCTTTCGTCATGGTTGAATAGGTATCTGAAGTACCTGACCAAGAAGTACTTGAAGAAGAACAACTTGCGTGACTGGCTGCGAGTGGTGGCCTCTGGTAAAGACACGTACGACCTGCGTTACTTCCAGATCAACCAGGAAGAAGATGAGGATGAAGATGAAGATTAAAGTGTGATGTTTGCAGTCACCCGTTACCCATGAAATCACCCATTCAACACCTTAGAGTTGCTGCTTGAGGCGGTCTCATTCTGTGTTGTAGCCTGTCAAGAAAACAGCGGAGATTTTCAAACTGTAAAATTAAAACAGTCATTTTCATTATCAATTACGCTTGTTCATGTACACCTGTACTCCGGAGATAATTTCTGAGGCATGTGGAGAATTTGGGCACTTCAATCAGACAGGGCAGATGATACAGATCTGGTACCCCGTCTCAATCGGTTTTCCAAGTACATGTTTATGGTTTGAGCACTGTTCACTTCTGCAGGATCCGTTGTATCAGAGATCAGAATAAATTACAGAAGACATTGTCACAAGGATGTGGAGTTGTGTGGACACGTGCATTTTGTCTGGCCTAGTATGATTCAAATGATGGTTGAATCTGATCGTGTATATGGTTGCATGTGGAAGTCTTGGTTTAGCCATGGTGCCTTCACACATTGGCCCCTGTAGGGTGCCGTTGGGGGACCACTTTTTTCGGGGGGGGGGGAATTTCCATGGGGTGGCCAACCTGGGAGGATGCCCCTTCCCCACTCCTATTGAACACCCATGTAGTAACCTGTTGGAAGTATGGTGGACACAGCAGGATGGCGCTGTTTGAAGTGGGTGAATTTTGAGCAAACAAGATTTGAGACTTGCCAAATAGTCCCTCGTTTTACTTCTGACATACTTCAAACAGGCACATGTACATTAGGAAAGTAGTGGAAGGCCTTTATGGGATGGGGTGGTTTGTCCCACGTACCCATATTAGAGGATACATCGGCTGAAGATGCCCTCTGAAGATGGGAACTGGTCTCTACCGGTACTTTGTTACACATACTGACCAAATTGTTAGCATAACGTCGTATATTAGTATTTGCGAAAGACGGCATAAAGAACAGCGCCACCTTTTGTCAGATAAGATGTTACCGAGCCACTTTAGGCTCCAACGGCAAGAGTTAAGTCATTTGCGTCCACGCCCCCTAACAATTGTCTTCAGAATATCTGACAACGGCGAAATTTTTGCTGGGTTGTTTTATTTTTACAGGCGTGGGTAGTTCGCAATTTTGCCATCCCCCCTCCCCACAGTTAAGTTAAATTGGTTTAGAACCATGGAGCTTTTAGATGAAGGACACAGAAGGAGTTTGAACTGCGCAGGCTATAACGTCTGGCCGATTTCCGTTTTCTAGCACGCCTGGTAATGGTATGTCATAGCCAGAGCGCGCAGGGAGTGCTTGCTAAGCGCAAAGCACCACCTGTTTCACAACCACGAAACCCCTTTGTACCCATTTTCGCCGCCGCAATTTTTCGCTGGTAATTTGTCTCCTTTAAACTTTGTGTACTTATGTATAGGAAATTGAATATTCATGCTTCGTTGGTGCTTGGTATGATCTCACAACATCAATTTAATGCTTGCGCAGTTGCTTGCATTATGCCGGTGTGCCCTAAGTAACGTGCAGTCTTTGCAATGAATGCTTTCTTTTGGAGTTACATGTATTTTGGGAATGAATAGCCACGTTGTTTACAAATTTTTGTGTTTTGTTAAAATCGTTTTATTATGGCATTTGTGTAAAAGTGTCTTTTATGAGATTTCATGATGTCTCTCTGTGATGAAGTTGCGGCGCATTTTGTTACTTATGAACTTAGCTTTCCAGTACTAGTTACCATTTTGTTGGCCAGTCTTAGCCAAATTCGTAACAAGTCTTTGAGAACCGATGTATTGCTGGGAGGAGAATAAAGATACAAACTTCGCATGGATAATGGAACAGTATCCAAATTTTAAAAGTTTATTCAGGATGGTAAAAGTAGGTCTCATATCGGAGACTTTTCTCTCTCTATCTCCTGGTCACAGCAGTAATTTGTATATAATTGCAAGCAAAACACTACAAGTATTGCTAGAATATTATTGGCCCCGCTTGTCCAGCTAAGATGCAGGCTGTAATCGGGTATTTTGGAATGTTTTCTATTATTCGCCTGGCCAGATGGGGATGACCATCGGAGCACTTACAACTCCTGTTCCCTTCCCCTATGCTGGAAACTGACCCTTTCTCAAAGATGGGTTTCTTAATCGGTCTTGTTTCATTCCCCCTGTGAACCATTTAAGAATCAAAATTCGATTGTGTTGGCTAAATATCTAATGGTTACTCTCTGTGACAAAATAAAATATTGATATTGGTCTAGAATATCCAAAATTAGGGACGTAGAGCTACATTGAAAACGGAGCTGGGTTTTAATTAATGGCTTGTCTGGAAGTTTCTTGCCCCTTAATTGTGAAGTGCGACCTCTGTTGACGTCAGCGATCCAAGGAGCTGAGTTAATAAGCGGGAAAAATTACCACCATGGCGACTGCATTGTACTTGGAACAGTATCTCGATAGTAAGCCAAAAACTCGTTTTATCGTTATACACTAGTGTCTGTATTCATACGTTTGTATTACACAGATATTAGTGGGTACATGTAGTGTAAAATTTAGGGGTGGTAGAGTTGATTCGGGCATAAAAACCGACGGTATATTTGGTTCAATTACGCATTCATTTTATAGTCTGCAGCCTCCCCTGTATGTGCGGCACGGACCCACAGACTGACGCTGTCAGTGCACGCTGTAGTGCACACGCTACACGTACATGTGTACGTAGTGTGACTGTACATGTACCGTACATGTACAGTGTATATACCCATGGTGCACCATGCACACAGCTTGACCCGAGTGTGGTCAGTGTTTAGGAATGCAAGGTCGTATTATGGAATGCAAGGTCGTGTGTAGGCCTCCTTGAGATGTGGTGCACATGGAAAAAATGTAAAATGCAAGCTAAGTTAGGCCAAAGTTATTTTTATGAACTTGGTGCTATGACATGTCACTTGATTAATCATGAAGAAGTGATTTTCAGAAAAATTGTTTTGATGTGGTCTTCTCTAAACCTTTTATTTGCTGTTGCAGACCCCTGCATCATAGTGCATGTAATCCTAGAACAAAGTAGAAGTAAACAGTACTCACTTTATATTTTTAATGTTTACTTCTGCTGAGTCTAATTAGGGCATTAATTAAAAAAGATCCTCAGAGCAATGGTAAGATCACCAAGCCCACCTGAAAAAACTGTCCCCATTTAGACGGACATTCTTTCTTTCTGGGGATGGATTTTGTCCCCAAATAAAGGGACTTCTCCAAATACTGGGACAGTCGTTGAGTTGTGATGTGTGCCTCCACTGTAACATGGCTAATCTTATACTGTTTATGTCATTCGTAGGTATTGAAAACTTGCCTTTTGAGCTTCAGAGGAATTTTACTCTGATGCGAGACCTGGATCAACGAGCTCAAGGTAGGTAAATTCTTGAAACATTCAAAGTTGCAAATTGTCTTCATGGTCTTGTAAGCTGTAAAAAGCTCAGTTTTTGCAAACATATCAAAACTATTTTTCTATTGCCTTAGATTTGTCTCGCGATATCGACAGAGAGACAGGGTCGTACATCAGTTCCGTCAAGAGTTGGGCACCAGAGCAGCGAGTAGAAGCTTTGAAGAGAATTGACAAAGCCTTTGCAAAGAGCCGAGAGTTCAATGATGACAAAGTCCAACTGGCAATGCAGACCTATGAAATGGTAGGCTAGGTCAAAACTAAATCTTTAGTGACGAAAATGGAAAATGTTTTGTTAAATAGGGTAATTTCCACCAACTTGAGACAGGATTTTAATTTTAATGAAATTCAATTTCTTGATTGTTCAGGTCGACAAGCACATCCGGAGGTTGGATGCAGATTTGGCCCGGTTCGAACAAGAGTTGAAAGAGAGAAATATTGAGCAGACATCGGAATATGACAGTTCCTCAGGAAGGGACAACAAAAGTAAGACGTCAGATCATGCTGCTAGCTATGGCGATGAACTTTCCTTGAAGCTTTCAGATCTTTCGGGTGTGACTGCACATAGCACTCTGTCTAGCACTTCAGTTCTATCAAATCATATTTCTTCCTTTTTTCCTTGTAATATTGTCAGAGAAGGGACGAGGGAGAGCAGCAGAAAAATCCGCCAAGAAAAGCAAGAAAGGCCGCGTTTCTGATGATGAAACTCCCAAACAGTCGAGGAAGAAAATGAAATCAGCTGCAGGCCAGTGAGTACTTCTTCAGAAGTGAATTTATGGTGGTTCTACGATCCATGGATGGCATCTTATGTAAGGCAATACCTCTTCTGTTGTTAATCTTTTCATTTTTCTTGTCATCAGAGCTGTAGCGCCCATTTTGACCTTACCCACCGTGATGAATTCTCCATCAGACGTTCTAGACATGCCAGTTGACCCCAACGAGCCTACATATTGTCTGTGCCATCAGGTGTCTTACGGCGAGATGATAGGTTGCGATAACCAAGATGTGAGCACACATTGATTTTCTGATGTTGATTAATTTTTTTTTTATCTGAAACCATGTTGCCCCAAAGTAAAGAGGGGTATACAAACCTTTGTGAGTTTCTTAACACTCTAGCAGCCATCACAAATTTGTATGTGTCATCTATTTCTAACTTGAGTCTTATTGTGGCTCTGAGAAACAGTTGCAATCTAGTTAGATATCCTGTTAAGAATTTATTCCTGTTTGTTGTTCATGTTTGATAGTGTCCGATTGAATGGTTCCACTTTGCTTGCGTTGGACTGACAGCTAAGCCCAAGGGCAAATGGTGAGTTTTAATCAAACCTCACAGTAGGCCTTGTCAAACAACTCTCACTGTCTTTCCTACCTGTGTTGAAATCATGATGTCAAGTGTTCTTACCGACGCCAGTTTGTACTAGGGTTGTCCATCATTTGAAATTTCTACATGGGTGACCAAGGCCGACTTTCACCCATGTAAGAAGTAGATCCGTTGTGTTGAATTCACGCTTATTTGGAAAGGGGTTGCCAAAATCTCAGGGCTGAGCCAGGGTCCAGTTCTTGTACTAGATTTCTAGGGAGGATCTTAGTAGTTTTTGGTGTAGTCAATGTGACTCCGGGTGTCAACAAGGTTAAATCTTCATCAGCCGCTGACTACTATGCTGCAGTGTTTGTGCCTTTTCTTTTCATTTCTCCTATATTTGCTTTTTATCAACCTTTCTTTTCTGATGATGTATATTTTTTTTCAGGTTCTGCCCGAGGTGTATGCCCGACAAGAAAAAGAAATGACGCTTTGTCAGAGAAAACCTAGCTGACATGTGAACATACATTGTCCCCGAGGCACTGTCACCTTTCCCACTGAGGAAAATTTGTAAAGAACAGCTTTGAATGTGTAGATACATTCCATGACATCACATGTATTTGGAGCCTGTTGTGTGCAAATAAACAGTTGTGCACAACTTGGATAGATTGCATATGAAATAATGGAATTGTTATTTCAGACGATTTTGTAATGATTGTTACTGTACCACAAATTTTACCTCAAATTAAAATGTGTCTGACAGAAGTTCACAGTGAAAGCAAACTGTATCCGCTGCAATTCTCAACCCCTATAATTTTACTCCTTTGATATCCCAGCTTATGTTGGAAACATGTTTTCGTGTTTGTTCATGTATCAAGAGTTGATAGGGTCTGAAGATATAAAGTCAACAATCTTATGGCAAGTCAATCTTTATCTGATGTCGTCTACTGTATTGTACATAGTTATTTGGTTAAAGCACAGCCCTAAGAATAAAAAGTCAGTAAGTTCAAGCAGTTCAATACTACAGATCAACTTCAAGAGATTGCTTTGCAGAGGCCATATGGATTACTTTATCTGTGAACATTTGTCAAGGTTCCTTATTAAGCCTGGGGTATATCTCCCAAAATTGGATTAATCAGTGGGTGAAAAGTACTACAAAACCTCAACTAAAACCAGTGACTTATCCTGGCTTAGACATGTTTCCAAACAAAGCTCACACATCCATCCTGTGGCAGCAAAATATGGTAGTCTTCTGCCTGTACAAGTCGATGGCAGTTTTGAAAAACTACCAATAAAAGATGGGTGACCCAACCAGCCGTACATTTGCTATACCTGTTCATTGAGAATTGCTTAAGAAGTATGTTCTATTTCCAAAAGTTAACTTTAGGGTTTAGTTATAAATACTTTGTTTTTCATTTAGCAAGATCAGCATTGAACTGCATTTTGATATTTGTGAACACGTTCTGAGTTGTAGAGGTTGATTTAGCAAAGCACGTATTCATGCGTGTTGCGTTTTATTGTTTGGGCACATTGTTTGTACTCTTGATCCATTCCTGACAACATAAATCCCTTCAACCCTTTGTCACATTTTTTAAAAACCTTCGGATGGGATTGTAAAATTCAATTATGTTCATTTCATCTTCTCTCAAATTTGAGTTTTATTGTAAATACCATTAAAAAAGTTATTTTTTTAAATCCCAGTTGAAATGAAAAGTAAGCATGGCATCTTTGCTCTGCTTCAAGAATATTTCGTACAGTTATCAAAAAGTGTAAATAATTGAGTATATTTTTAGTTACAAACATGTAAGAGGTTACATTAGTGTTGATTTGATTAAGTGTTGATGTTATTGTACTACTCAGTATTTGATTGTGGAGAGGAATACATGTACATGTATTTGATTTCTTTTTTTATGACACCAAATATATGAGAGGCGCCAAAGTGTAGAGATGGCTAGCTATACAGTGTAATTTTTTATAGGGCTGTTCTGGTCATGTACTTGCTTCCAGAGCAGTTTGACAAATGCTGATGTTTTAACTGGCGATTTTGCATTCAGTTAAGTACTTTACTGTTCAAAATTGGAAACCGTGCAGAAAAGAAGTTATGCATGAATGTGACCACACACTGGAGTAAATATTTTTGATGATGCCTGATGGGAAAGGAATGATGCTTACTTTGTAATGAAGCAGTCTCAAATCTTGTTGCATAACAGTTTTGATGTTCCAGTGATTACAGAATTGGAGTACATGTATTGACTTTGTAACTATGGCCGCTTTCCAAATTTGGGCTGCATTTTCCATCTTTGTCTATGCTCTAAAGTCAATTACAAACAGTTGCTGCTGGAATCAAATCTGAAAACATATTCTCCAAACAGTGACTACATTTTAAATAATTTGTTGTGTCTGCTGCCGAAATGAAGCATTGACCTCAGTAACAATCCAGACTTGATGTGGAAATTTTTTACATCAGAGGACGAGTGAGGGACACATTTTGTTGGTATTGGTGGAATCTGAGACTGGCTGCTTTTCAGCCATGGTTGAATCCAGGACTAGACTGATTTGAATCACACAAGTTGATTGCGATTGTTTTTTTATGTATTAAGAATGCACAGAGCTGATGTTTGTTTCTCAAGTGAATTGTATTCTATTCAGTGGACTGAATATTGTCAAGTTTGACTTGGTGGCTTGATTGTGAAAGAGGGTGCAATAAAAAGACACATTTTGTAGTTTTTGCATTGTACTGCCAGTTTTCTTACGGGTTTGTGATTGTAAATTTTATTTTTAACCTGCTTAAACCAGCAGGTACCTTTAGGCCACCAGAAGACAAGCAACATCGAATCAGCTACATTTAAACCATCACCTGTACTTTTTGAACATCAGTCGTTTAGAAAATTGGTGAAGAAAGTGCGCACTTTCCCCTTCTAATCGTTTTACCTTACTGTAATATGGGTATGAGACAAGATTTTGAGGTTTGTGAATATGTTAACCCTTGGCCTTTTTTCTTAGTTTAGCCATGGAGGAATAAAAACATCCTCTATGGTTTAGCACGAGCACTTACAAACATACAAAAAAAACAATGGGAAGAAAAACTGAAATTGCGCTGAAAGTGGCGCTGGTTTATTTTCATCGAAGATAAAAACGGAAGTAGAAGTTTATGAGAAAAAAAAAGACAGCAGGGCCTGTCCGGGAGTCGAACCCGGGGCCTCTCGCACCCAAAGCGAGAATCATACCACTAGACCAACAGGCCGCTTCGAAAACATGGTGGGAATCTTATCTATTTATAAAAAGTTATTTTTATTCGAGAGTCTTCCATCTAATTATGCAGTGGAATAAAAATAACCAAATATTTGTGGAGTACTGATTTTACAACTAGATAAGAAACATCCAACTCAAAATTTAATTGCTACTTTTAGGTTGTTTTTGTAAGCCTATTTGAAAAGAGAGTTAAAAGTAAAACTGAAGAAATGTGCAGTTAGCATTTCCAAGATTTACCTAATAATAAATGAAACCACCCAAAAATTTCCCAATCATTGATGTGATTCAAAACAATGATAATTTCACATTAGAAAATGGCGACTCGTCGCTAAACATGGCGACAACAATGAAAAGAAGATTTCATCAGCGACACGGAAATTTGATTTCTTTGAGCAGCAATGGTAGAACAGCGAGCAGAAATGAACCTCGCCAAGAGTTCAACAATGGCCTCGTTATAAGCAAGTCAGTTTTGAAAGAAAACGAAATCTTCGAAGTCAGAATCGACAAAAAGGTGAGATGACCGGGCATGATGACCTGAGTGGTGACGCCCCAACTTAACTATACAGCCCCAACTGTAGTGCTGCAGTTGGGCTTGCTCAACTATTGTTGACCAATGTCTGTGGGAAATGTCGTAACGTTATCCAAGTCGATGTGTCTCACACTTGACACAATTCATCTAAAATGTGGCACTTCCTCTGTTCATCTAGCCCTGTGACCGATGACATGATGACCACAGATGACATTGGTAAACATTATGACTTTGGCACACGAATAGAATAGAATAGATGTTTTTATTGTCATTTCCTTCCAGCGTATAAAAAGAAGATAATGAATTTTGCCTTCCCGGTGTTATAGAAATCATTTACGCATTTTTTTGAAATGACACATTTTCAAGGGATCCACCAACGGATCCAGACAGAGCTCCAGTATGACCATAAACTTCAACCTCCCCAAACATTCCAAGAATACTACACATGAAAGTTTCTAGCTGCTTGATATGAGGCAAATTGAAGTAGGCTTCTGGCGGCTTATGGTTTTAGAGAGTACATATTTCCTGCTCCTTTCCCCCACCCAAAAAAAGGTATGCCACAGACCACCTGGAGTAGAAGGCTTGCCATCAAGCCGTGAGGACGAAGTACCGGCATGATTGAGTAGTATGATATGGCTGAACAGTTGCCCTTACAACGTATTTGACGTCCTACAGTAAAAAACATAGCGTTTTTAAAGTATTGAGGGTCAAAATGAATGCGTTTTTACATTTTTTATGCGAAGTTATTTTCGTATTCTCCAATTTCATTGCGTAAAATACACCAATACGCATGCTAATGGAAGCCCTAATGTGGCAATGCCATGGGAGTTCATCTCTAATTTCCGGTTGTGAGAAGAACCTGTTGTAATGTGGCAAGCAGTGCGCTCTATATGTTATCAGGAGACTTGTTAAAAGTTAACTCCAATGTTGCCCAGATCTGAGGCTTTCTGGAAGAGGTGTAACTAGGGTGACTGAGTTTTTTTTGGGGGGGGGAGGAGACACCCAGGGGTGTACATGTGCTTATTTCAAGAAGGCACTGAAAACAAACTCATTTTAAGATTGCCCATGGGAAATCTTATTGTCCTAAGGAATACTTTCCCTGATTTACAGTACTTCTTTTTTCAGGTGGAAACGTGGAGTGGTTCTATTGAAGTTGGAGTTACTTCTCTTGACCCAGGCAACTTAGAGTTTCCCACCAGCGCAACAGGCCTTTGTGAAGGGGCCTGGATTTTATCTGGTTCCACAGTACTACATGATGGTAAGTAATGAGCTATGGTGGAATGGGACCACCTCAGGCATTTTCAGTGGTGAATGTGGCTGCGAGTGTGATCAGTGAACATTGTGAAGGGTACAATGTACTTGTGACACTGCAATTGTCTGCCCAAGCTCATATGCCATAGTTTGTACACATTCCATTGAAAATTTGTCTGCATTCCTCAGTGCACTCAGAAAAGTTTTTCCAGTTCATTGACCTTCAACTAACCTTTGACATTCTATCAGGGAATTCTGCAATGGTGTGAACAGTTAATTAATAATCATACTTCATGAATATGTGCTGTTTGTAACATTCAGGGGAAGCCATCCTTGATGAGTATGCTTGCGACCTGGACAGTTGTAATGTAGGTGATCGTATCGGCATTCAGAGAACCAACTCTGGAGAACTTCATTTATTTCACAACGGTGTAGACAAGGGTGTGGCTGCAACTGGACTACCGGCCAGAGTCTATGCAGTGGTGGACTTGTATGGTAAATGCACGCAAGTGACACTGCTCAACACAGCACGTGAGTTGGTCTTGTCGCTTTTGAAATCTCCTCTTTGTTTATAGAAAGCATCTTGCTGTCGGCAAAATTAAAGTTAGATTTCCGTAATTAGAAAAATTATGTTGTTTGGGACAAAAGAATGTTAGAACAGTGTCATGCTGCTGATGAGCTCTTAAATCTTGATTATTGAATGCATTGACGTGTTTAACACTTCAAGGTCACCAATTTGGGTATTAGCTGTGGCACCAATCACAAAGAATGTTATTTTATGTAGGATTTCTTACAGGAAGATGAGATGGAAAAATGTTCAAATGTTTCTCAAGGAAATAACAGAGAAAAATTTGGAGGGGGTTTGTGGCTACTATAAATGGATTGGAGGTATTTAACTCACAAGATATTTTGTCCATGTACATGTGCCATGAGCTCTGGGAGCGCTACTTTTGTCTTGTTTAATCATTGGAAAAGATTGGATCTGACCAGACTTGTTGATGACCTCCCCAGATGGAGTGAATCACAGCTCTGACGACTCATCGAGTGAGGACGACAGCAGTGTGAGTGAGGACAATGTAGATGATGAAGACACCGAGACTGAGGACATTGATCGAGTGGAGGAGCTGAGAGTCCCGCTAGACAACGCCTCTATCTCCCTACCGTCCAACAATGCTTTGCTGTTCCACCAAAGACATGGATCTCTGATCACGCTTTTGAATAATGGCAGAACTGCTGAAAGGGGGAATGCTCGGGAAGAGTTTAATAACGGTGTTGTAATGACCAACAGGTTACTGAGAAGCAACGAACTGTTTGAGGTGAATAAAATTAGACAGTTTCATTTAGTTTAGAAATTCCACTGCTGTAGATTTGTCCAAGTAAGCACCTTCTGTAAGTAAGCACAATCGCAAAGTTCTGTTAGTGTGATTGTCACTGCCAGTGTGATTGTCACTGCCAGTGTGATTGTCACTGCCAGTGTGATTGTCACTACCAGTGTGATTGCCATCGTCAATACTAGTGCCACTGCTATAAAGCCTTTTCCATCATCATTGAAATCATGTCACAACTACAAGGGCTTTCCTTCAATTTATTTCTTTTTTATGTACATTGTAGATTAGAATTGACAAACTCATTGACAAGTGGTCTGGTTCCATTGAAATCGGCGTCACAACTCACATCCCAGAATCGCTAGATTTCCCATCCACAATGACCAATCTCAGAACAGGTACGTCAAAGGTTGTATGATGTAAGACCACATGGACAAAGGTCACCTGGGCTCATATGCTGTTTAGGTTTATAGAGACCCCCCAAATCTACTCCCCTTTTTTCGTTGTATTGTGATGGACTTTGAAGTAGTAGTACTCCAGTAGAAAGTGTCATTTGATTGCACATCGCATAGGTAGGATTTAGGAGGTACTAAGCAAGAAGAGTAGATTTCATCTTCTGGTGTATGTTTTAAGTTTGTACTTTTTTTTTGTTTTTGCTCTTTCGTAAGCCGTTCACAAGCATTTTTATTTATAAAAATAACAAAGGACTTATTCCAAAATGATGTTTCTTATTGACCAAGGTACAATTATGATGAGTGGATGTGGCATTTTGACAAATGGAAAAGGCACAACCAGAGAGTATGGAGAATTCGATCTAGACGATCTTGCTGTAAGTGTTGGAAAAGTATTAAAGGAACCATTTTTTTACAAAATCTCCTTTGACTATCACAACATGTAACAGGAGCACTGTACATAGTGAAATGATATACATGATATTGATTTCAGTGATTGAAGGCCTAACTCAAGAGTCTAACCGTTGTTTTAAATTCTCCCATGAGAAGATTATACCAAAATACATTATGGGTAAGGAGAGTTTGACCTTTCTTGAGCCTGGCATTTTTATTTGAATTTAAAAGTTGAATATTTGAAGAAAAAGAGTGATAAACTGTTTGTGTTGGAGAGTTTTTACCTGAAGCTACTTGTAGTTGCCTAATTTTGCTATTTGGTTTGCATTTTGTGTAGGAAGGTGATCGCATTGGGGTCATGCGTAAGGCAAACGGTGACCTTCACTTCTTCATCAATGGCCATGACCAGGGTCGTGCAGTATCTAATGCCCCTCAGGACATATTTGGGGTTGTTGACCTGTATGGGATGGCCGTGAGAGTGACCATTCTGGAATGGGTGCCTCCAGCCACCCACGCCATGACTAGTTTTGTGGATCAGCGCGTTTCACAGCTCAGTTACCTGCAGTCCTTGGCGCAGCAAGAATCACCCAATGTCTTCCAAGGTGAGTTAATGATTTACCTGAATCCTACAAAATCTTCCACTGTACGGGAAACTAATGGCACATTCTCTGTACTTCAACTTTCCAGGGCTAGCAAGCCCCATTTACAGTTACAATGGCTGGGTTCTACCTCCTTAATCCTGCTAAACTCTCAAAAACCTAGTGGAATATGAAATACATAAAGAGAATTTAGATTGAATAAGGATTAAGACATAGTGAATATGCAGTCTTACAGAATGATTTAATGTACATTCTCCTGAAACTTCAACTCTTCAAAAAGGCATCATTTGATCATGGTTTGAAACACACCAAGGTACTCAAACTAAACCTTCCTTAAAATTTATCCCTCTTCAAAGTTGTTCAACATTGTGCCAAGCTGTCCTTAGAAATGAATGTTCAGAACTTTGTATTTGTTTTGACAAAAATTACATGTGGCCCATTTCAGCTGAGCCCACTTTTTTGAGCTCACCAATATGACGGAGACCAACTCAGACTTCTAGGGGGAACAATGTTGTGTTTCTATAGACCAAAAGAAGTGCCCTCTAAGAGTTTTTTGTGTGGATGTTGTCTGCAGCTGGTTCTTGGGAGTGGACAGATAGACCACGATTCCATGAAACATGTGGTATACATGCCCAGGTGATCAACGGGGGACTAACTGCACATCGACCAAAGTACGTCAGGAACTGTTGTTTACTCTCAATAATGCTTGCTTTGTTCTTTGAAGTCTAGGTGGAGATATAAATTAAATTGCTTTCTAAATTCATAGCAAAAAGAAGAAGAAGAATATAAAACTATCGACCAGAAAGGGGACACCATGCTTCTATTTACTGGTAATGGGGGCACTAGTGCACCTATTAACTGGAAATGGGGACAGAAGTGTACCCATTGATCAGAAGTTGTGGTTGGGTAGTTTGCCTGTTACCTACCAATAGGGGCACCAGTCCCCTATTAGCAGAGGGGGCACTGTTACACTAATGTTGTTTCAGACCACAAGATTCATGACCACCGCCATATTTCCAGTAGTCAAACTCGTCTTAATATTGAATTTTTTATCAGTGCAGTAGTCATCTGTTATCAGTCCATAAAACATTAACTTCACTGTTAGTCGTTATGCAGACCTTCATGCTATGTAGTTGGATCAGTCATGATTAGATTGAGAGACCTGCTGTTGAGTTTTTGGATTGAATTTTCATTCGTTTTTCAGTGCTATGGACGATTTCAACAATGCCGTGGTGTTGACCAGCCGCCCCCTCCAGAATGATGAGATGTTTGAGATCAGAATTGACAGAATTGTTGACAAGTGGGCTGGGTCTATCGAGATTGGATTGACCAAACACTCCCCAGAGGAACTAGGTAGGCCAGATTTGGAGTTCTATTGGAAAGGTGTAGTATTAAGTCTGAAACTGTGTACCCTGAACGCTTTGGTAAACTGTAGCCCTTTTTCCCAGCAGCTGAAAATTCTCTCAAATGACCATTTGCTTCCTCTGCCAATAATGATCAATGTTTGGAATGATGTCACTTATCAAACCTCTTTATTTTTGGGGTGGGCCGTTTATAGATTTCCCGTCAACAATGACCAACGTGCGCAGCGGCACCTGGATGATGACTGGCGATGGAATCATGCACAACGGTGTTGCCATTGTTGATGAGTATGGACTCAACCTTGACAGGCTCAGGGTAAGACTGGCAAGTTATCAGCAAGAGATCAATCTAGGAATTAGCAAAGTCATTAAAAATCAGAGCCAGAGGGAAGAACATTGGGACTTTACATTCGGGCAGGTTAAAGTAATCAGCTGTGTGAATGACAAAGACATTGAATAACCTGTTAACAAAAATGAAGAATTTTAAGGGTCAGTTGTTAATTTTGGTGGTATTTATTTTGAATCTAATCATTTAGGAAGGGGACAGAATTGGAGTAATGAGGAAGCTTAATGGTGACCTACACTTCTTCATCAAAGGAGTAGATCAAGGGATTGCAGCCACAAATGTTCCACCAAATCTCTTTGCCGTGGTAGATCTGTATGGACAGGCCACACAAGCAACCATTGTGGAACCCGGAGGTTGGTCCAGATGGAGATAAAATTAGGCTTTGTAGGCTGAAAAATCAGTCAGTTGTATTACGTGATGGCGAAATTTACAATTTGAAACTCTGTGGTCAGACTTATACAATAAGACATTTGTTATTGTTCAGACTATGCAGAGGAACCAGTGGAAGCACAGGTACCAGCCGATGATAACATATTACGCTTCTATCATTTGCACGGTCGAAATGTCAAAATCAGCAACAATGGATTGAGGGCACAACGGCCCAGCGCAACCGGGGAATTCAATGATGCTATCATCATGAGCAACAGACCACTACGAGTTGGGGAGATGTTTGAGATTACCATTGAGAAGATGGTGGATAGATGGTCGGGATCCATCGAAGCAGGTGCGTGATTGGTCTGTTGTTTTTCTAACAATAAACATGATTTGTCAGCATTGTATCTGTTCTTCCTTACAGCTAAACCTGAATGGTTGTTTTTAACTTTTTCTGGTTTTACAAGATGATTTTTGATAAGAAGACTGGGGAGGAGGTTATGAATAATTCAGTATTCATAATTAAATTGAATGAATATTCATGTGACAAATCTTTTTGACAATTAGTACCATAGCACAGTTTTTCCACATCTCGTAATTTGTGTTCAGCAGAGAATGGTTAAGTGTGGAGATTTTCTTCTCATGTCTGTATTTTTCTTCAGGTGTTACAACAATTGCTCCAGAAGAACTTGATTTCCCGAGCACAATGACAGATTTAGACCATGATACTTGGATGTTAAGGTGAGGAAAAATTCTCAAATATCTACTGTTTTATTTGTTGATTTTTCCCTCAATAAAATCCCTGGAAAGATCAGAGGTTTATTTTTATGTGTTTTTCCCCTCTTTTTTTCCATGTCTCCTTATTTTCTAGTGGTGCGTGCGTAATGAAGGATGGTTTAATGTTGAACAACTCCTACGGACTGGACCTTGACACTGTTCATGAGGGGGATAGAATTGGCATTCGTTCCTGGGAGGAGACACTTCACTTCTTCCTGAATGGACGAGACATGGGTACAGCATGTACAAATGTTCCTTCAGGTAAAAATGATCAGAGAAGTTAGTGGCTAATATTGCTCCTAATGGAGTAGCTTTTCTTGCAGTTACGGATAGTTCATCAAATAGTTTATGACTAGCCCACTGACTGTCATCATGGCTGTCCTGTGGCTCT